ATAAATAATAAATATGACAGCTATAACACCTATTTATATGTAGGTAAATTAACAAACTACTAACAACCTTTAACTACCTCTAACTACCAACTCACAAGTAATATTACTAAATTACCCTTCTATTTTAATAATTATAAAGGAACTGAAAGGAAAACAAAAAGAAAATAAGATACTAAAAAAAACTTCATGGGACTACCTTTTTTTTCTTCATCATAATTTTGGCAGCAGCCTGGAAAAAAGAGAGAATTCAGTAAAAACAATACCCAAATATGGTAAGCATAAATATTTAGAAATTTCAATGGATAAAATGTTGCCCAAAATTTTCCGGTCTCATTTATGTGAATAAATAAAAACACCAATTTTCAGAGGGTCTTTATCCTAGCGATATCGTAGCCTTTAGCCTCCTAGGATGTCAGAGGTTTAAACCTCACCAAAAGAATTTATTTGTTGCATTTGCCGTATATAAATATCATATACTTAAAAAAAATTTAAAAACACCAATGAGATTCAAATAATTATGTGTGTTCACGTGATTGGTGGGACATAGACAAGGGATTGAAATTTGAGACGAGATTTTTATCCATTTCCAAGAACCAAACCTGTGTACATAGGAATACACCAGTGAGATTCAAATCAATGACTTCCTGCCATTGGGACGTCTTCATCGTCAACAACAAACCATCTYTCGTKGTCCCTGTATCATTCGTCGCGATCACATTAGAAAACAAWCAAACATAAAAATTGTTGGGGGAGGGGGAAGAACAAGAACAAGAACCAGAAACCTGCATTGTTGACCAATATGTCAACAGTACCCCAAGTATCAACTGTCTGTAATTAATGGTTATGAAGTCAGAAAAAAGTTCCAAATAATGTTTGAACAAYGAATCAATAATCACTCACAGTTTTAAACATGGATGCAACATCTGTTTGTTTTGTAACATCTCCCCTAAATGCAAGTGCCTCACCACCCATTGTCTCAATCTGAAAGGAAATAGCCATTGATTATTACGAAACGAATATTTTAAACATACTTTATAACATTATTACAAATAAATCCTATAAAATCCTGCGAAATACCAACTACTCACATGGGATTTATAAATCTAATGTTTGTGGGATTTCAAACCCAAACTTTTCTTTGAAACAAAAAGCCGATTGAAATAGATTCAACTCTAAATCCTACCAAATCCCATAAACCAAACGGGTCCTTGGTATCATAGCTTTCTTCTACGTGCAGTAACCCGAATATAGAAAAGAAATTTGATCTAGCTACTAGTAAGGGGCTGTGTGGTGGTTTATTCATCAAATCATATACGGATTAAGTTGTTTGTACGGATTAAGCTAAATTGTTGTTTGGTTGTTGTGCCAAATAAACAGTCGGAACGACCAAACTAACTATGCGCATGCAGCACAAGGAATCATAGTTCGTTATRTACCACTTTGAAGATTGATTTGAAGGTAGAAACACAGAATTATCATATAAAGAAAATTAGGAATGGGTCAAAACGTCACCTGGTTGCAAACTTCTTCTGCATCCTTAACTGACCTTGCATAATTAACCAGAACCTGTAATAATTGTCGTATATAAATATTATATACTTCAAAAAGAAAAGAAAAAATCTCCACTATCCCTGAGCCTTTATTTGCCAGTTGAGTTGGCTCTMAAGGTTAACCGTACGCATTTGCAATGAAATTCAGCCATGAATATAATTCTTTCGGACCTTACAACCAGCTTTGCCGAAAGCTAGTGCAACCGCCCTGCCGATACCTYTAGAGGCTCCRGTCACAATAACAACAGGAGCTTCCACTGTTTGTGTTGCTTCTGTTTGTTCTATAGCAACCACCTCGGCTTTTAAACCACCTGCAACCCCCATTCCAATCGTGAAGTTGGCATTAGATTATAGCATACGGCATAAAATCGCATGTGTAAGCAGGGTTGTTCCAATATTTTTGGTATAAAATCGCATGTGTAAGCAGGGTTGTTCCAATATTTTTGGTATAAAATCGCATGTGTAAGCAGGGTTGTTCTAATATTTTTTTGGAGGAAGTTCGTACCGTATGTTATATTAAAATTATTCGCAAATTAAAAAGCAACAAACATGTCATAAAGTAACAAAATAAAATATGAAATTCACATCATTCTTTCAATTTTTTAGAAAGTCGGAATCCACAATCACCAAATCAGCTAAAAGAGTAAAACCCTACAAGCTTGCCAAAGGGCACACCAAATCATAGGATATCCAAACATTTGGGCAAAAAGTTGATTACCGGCAACCTCAACTGGCCCCATACGGACTTGGCCTCCTAGGACCCCAATTTAAAGGGGCATCTTTTTTTGCTCGCTAAGGCTAGCAGAGGGCATGAGATCAAACCCATGACATTGCTTGTGTTTAGGCAAAATCATTCCAAATCGTAGGATATCCAAACATTTGGGCAAAAAGTTGATTACCGACAATCCCAACCAGCCCACAYGGAATTGGCCTCCTAGGACGCCAATTTAAAGGGGCATCTTTTTTTGCTCRGCTAAGGCTAACGGGGGCATGAGATCAAACCCATGACATGGCTAAACACAAAATCATTCCATGTCTTTGTCAACTCTAGTGGCATATCCAAACAAATATTAATATGACATGATGTGTGAAGCTGAGATCCTCAAGGAAATAATAGTTCTTCTCGGGAGATCAGGTATGCTTGATGTCATCCAGGGGTGTCCCAAGTGCGGGACGAAGTGGGCRGTCGCCCAAGGGAATCAAAGCCCAACACTTAAATAGGATATAYTGGGTACTATTAACAATAATTTTCAATCATTTAAATTTAATAAAGGGATAAATTCAATAAGGTCGCCCAAATCGTTTTGAATGTATTGTTATACCCATATTAAAATTATAGATGGTATGAAACAAGTAATAAATGAAATAAATTTAAATTTTCATATCATATTAAAAAATTTACAAATTAAAACAATAACAATGTTTAAAATAACAAAATAGAAGAATATCAAATAATTATTTTTATTTTTAATCGACAAACTCTGAAATTAATCAACAACTTTTGATTTTGAAAAAGATTAGAAAGATCTTTATTGAAATGGATTCAAACATTGAGCAATATAAATATGGCCCCCAAAATTTTGGAGATCCTGTTCCGAAACCAAAATTTAAGAGCATCTCCAACAAATATGTTAAAATAAAGATTTTGAAGATTTAAGATGTATTTTTGCTCCAAATGATATGCTAAAATAGAGGGGGGAAAAGAGATAATAGAAATCTCCAAAATTGAAGAGATCTTTGAAACTAAGAGAGAAATAATATTTAACTCTCTCTCATCAGTGTTAGACATTTAAACTAAGGGGGTGTTTGGTTGGAGGTATTAAAATCAGGGACAAACCTAATAATACGGAGGAATTATACTGTGGCACGTGCCACCGTAACCACCATGGTAGGTCCGTCCATGATTAAAACAATAATTAATTAGAATGAAAAAAAAAAAACTGTTTGATTGTATATAATATAATGAGCTCATTAATTCAGAAGCGCAAATTTTATATTCTAGGTTTTACTGGCAGGAACGGGAACTCATTCCCATTTTCATTCTCTGTGATTTTCATTTTCATTTCCTTATCAGAACCAAACGCCCCTTAAATGTTTAGAAAAGTGAATAATATTTTANGCCAAAGGGCACACCAAATCATAGGATATCCAAACATTTGGGCAAAAAGTTGATTACCGGCAACCTCAACTGGCCCCATACGGACTTGGCCTCCTAGGACCCCAATTTAAAGGGGCATCTTTTTTTGCTCGCTAAGGCTAGCAGAGGGCATGAGATCAAACCCATGACATTGCTTGTGTTTAGGCAAAATCATTCCAAATCGTAGGATATCCAAACATTTGGGCAAAAAGTTGATTACCGACAATCCCAACCAGCCCACACGGAATTGGCCTCCTAGGACGCCAATTTAAAGGGGCATCTTTTTTTGCTCGGTTAAGGCTAACGGGGGCATGAGATCAAACTCATGACATGGCTAAACACAAAATCATTCCATCTCTTTGTCAACTCTAGTAGCATATCCAAACAAATATTAATATTACATGATGTGTGAAGCTGAGATCCTCAAGGAAATAATAGTTCTTCTCGGGAGATCAGGTATGCTTGATGTCATCCAGGGGTGTCCCAAGTGCGGGACGAAGTGGGCGGTCGCCCAAGGGAATCAAAGCCCAACACTTAAATAGGATATATTGGGTACTATTAACAATAATTTCCAATCATTTAAATTTAATAAAGGGATAGATTCAATAAGGTCGCCCAAATCGTTTTGAATGTATTGTTATACCCTTATTAAAATTATAGATGGTATGAAACAAGTAATAAATAAAATAAATTTAAATTTTCATATCATATTAAAAAATTTACAAATTAAAACAATAGCAATGTTTAAAATAACAAAATGAGAAGAATATCAAATAGTCATTTTTATTTTTAATCGACAAACTCTGAAATTAATCAATAACTTTTGATTTTGAAAAAGATTAGAAAGATCTTTATTGAAATGGATTCAAACATTGAGCAATATAAATATGGCCCCCAAAATTTTGGAGATCCTGTTCCGAAACCAAAATTTAAGAACATCTCCAACAACTATGTTAAAATAAAGATTTTGAAGATTTAAAATGTATTTTTGCTCCAAATGATATGCTAAAATAGAGGGGGGAAAAGAGATAATAGAAATCTCCAAAATCGAAGAGATCTCTGAAACTCCATATTTAAGAGAGAAATAATATTAAAGTCTCTCTCATCAGTGTTAGACATTTAAACTAAGGGGTGTTTGGTTGGAGGTATTAAAATCAGGGACAGACCCAATAATACGGAGGAATTATACTGTGGCACGTGTCACCGTAACCACCATGGTAGGTCCGTCCATGATTAAAACAATAATTAATTAGAATGAAAACAAAACAAAAAAACTATTTGATTGTATATAATATAATGAGCTCATTAATTCAGAAGCGCAAATTTTTATTCTAGGTTTTACTGGCAGGAACGGGAACTCATTCCCATTTTCATTCTCTGTGATTTTCATTTTCATTTCCTTATCAGAACCAAACGCCCCTTAAATGTTTAGAAAAGTGAATAATATTTTAWTAAATGTATGATATACTTACAGTTAATAATAGATTGCTAAAATATAATAGTTATTAAAGTTAGATAATTTTTCTTACAAAATTAACTTTTAATATACACTATTTAAAACCTATTTTTACAAATCTTTCCGATACAAAAACCTTTCCAAAGGCTTTTTCATCAAGTCCATTATATCTACCCTCATATATTTAAAATGTTTTATAAAAGCCTCTCGTTTAATTTGTCATTTTAAAGTTCACGTCATATTTTTCGAAAAYAAAAATTACTTAACATTAAAGTTCACTAAGCTAAAAACGTAACTTTTGGAAGCAGCAACTTTTTTGGACTAATTTTGTTAAAACTTTTTGTTGGTCAGGGGCCATAACTGTCAAATCTAAACCTTTTATTCAGTTGGAATTGGACCCAAATAATTTCCTTYTAAATCGAGGCTAAAGTGTAATTACTCCAAATTTGAGGGTTAAATKTTGCCTATGAACCTAACCAGTCATCCCTTTCACCCGTTCATGACCCGAGACCATATKTTTGACCCGTTTTCAAACCTTCCCTTAATCTACTCGATTTTCATATTTTTACACAAAATCATTTCAACTAATTTTATATTCAAACTTGTGTCAATTTTATTTACTGATAGAAGCAACACAACCTTGTTTGAGGTCCATGAATACTCGATCGAATCACCATTAATGGTGGTTTGAGGACACTGGACTTCGAACAGCTCTAAACTCGATTAAAACCTACCAATAGACTCGAAACTCTACAGAAAACAAGTCATATTATAANAAAAATTACTTAACATTAAAGTTCACTAAGCTAAAAACGTAACTTTTGGAAGCAGCAACTTTTTTGGACTAATTTTGTTAAAACTTTTTGTTGGTCAGGGGCCATAACTGTCAAATCTAAACCTTTTATTCAGTTGGAATTGGACCCAAATAATTTCCTTYTAAATCGAGGCTAAAGTGTAATTACTCCAAATTTGAGGGTTAAATKTTGCCTATGAACCTAACCAGTCATCCCTTTCACCCGTTCATGACCCGAGACCATATKTTTGACCCGTTTTCAAACCTTCCCTTAATCTACTCGATTTTCATATTTTTACACAAAATCATTTCAACTAATTTTATATTCAAACTTGTGTCAATTTTATTTACTGATAGAAGCAACACAACCTTGTTTGAGGTCCATGAATACTCGATCGAATCACCATTAATGGTGGTTTGAGGACACTGGACTTCGAACAGCTCTAAACTCGATTAAAACCTACCAATAGACTCGAAACTCTACAGAAAACAAGTCATATTATAACTCGGAGTTGAAATTTACCTCCAAAATCGCAACTAAACTTGTGAAAATGGTTATACAACCTAGTAAAATAAAAAATAAAAAAAAATACGTCACGTTTCAGATTATACACTACAAGAGAGAAGAAAGTCGTACTAGATCGGCATTGTGAATAATTGAAGCTACGATGGAGGTGAACGGAAGGGAAACTCTTGCCGGAAAAGAAGAATCTCTGATTGCCGCCGATAACTCTGGACTTGTCTGAGATTCCTATGGATTTGAAAGCAGCGACAGAAGCAAATGCAGCCATGAGCGTTCGAATTACAGAAACTGAAGAGAGAAAGAGAGGATGGCGAACACCAGCTATCGTAGAGGTTGTTATAAACTATTTCAATTAGGGAAGGCTAATTAATAACACCTTTATTCCCTATCTTTAATTGTTTTTGTTTTTATAAATAATATAAGATTACTATCGGAAAGAGTTTAAGAAAATCCAATTAACTTTATTATTTGAAATAATTAAATTTTTGGATAATTTTTTAAAACAAATAAATTCTTGAACATTTCAAAATATGTTAAATAACTTTTTGGACTTTCTAAAAACCTGTTAAATACATTCTTATGACCTATACAACTGGTTAATGTGGTAAAATAATAGAAAAAATTCAAAAAAAAACCCAATGAGCATACATATTTTGAATGTTTAAGTCCCTAAACATTTTTTGAACCAAAAAGTGTTTAAATCTATAAAATTAAACAAATATAACAAAAAAGTTACATTTACAAAAAATAATTTTGATAAACTTTATTTTAATTAAAATTAAAATATATTTTGTCACTGATTTTTCAAACTAAAAAAAATTAAAAAAAATTACTGATTAAATTTATTTTAATTAAAAATAAAATATATCACGTATATGATTTTAAAAATTAAAAAGGAGATTTAAAAAGATTATTGATAAAATTTATTTTAATTAAAAATAAAAAATATTTTTATTTTTATTTTTTAATTAAA